AGGTAGCTGCTCTGCCCCCGCCCCCCTTTGGAGCTGCCAATGTCTTCTGAGGTCCTTTCTTGCCTCCAGGGTCTCTTCCCATTTGTTCTCCTAGCACTGCCTTCCTGAAGCATGACCACATGACTCCCTTGCTCAAAACGCCACCCCTGTTCTCCACAGCCCGCTCAGTGAAACCTGGTCTCTCATCAGTGTTTGAGACCTTCCACACTCTTCCAAACCTCCTTTCTGCCCTTCTTTCCCTGCTCGCCGTTTTTGTATCCTAGACTCTGGGTGCTGGAACTACAATCTGCACTTTCCTGTCTCTTGATTTTCATATACTTTTTCTCGCTGTTTGAAACCTCCTTTGTCCATTTGTGATTTTTATTTCTTGCCTGAATCTACTCATTTTTCAGATGCCTTCTCTTTTGAGCAACTTTCTCTGATCTGCTTCCTACCCAACTCGTAGACTTCAAGCTGCAATTAATATTCTCATGCCCTAACTATCCATAGCACATTTTCTGCTTTTGTATCTTTACAAGATTATTGATGGTTTGTTTTTTTTTACTATTATCTATGGCTGAATTCTAAATATAATAAGCAATCAACAAAAATGAAGGGAAGAGCTTTTTTTTATTGGTTATTACATTTCTGAACAATGGAGCCTCAGTTTTCCAACTTAATTCATTCCAGAAGGCTGTTCAAGATGCAGTTTGTTCAAAAACTCTTACAGGTGACTGGTCATACAGGTATCAGCATGAAAGGGTTGTTGGGTCGAGAACTAAAGTTTTGTTCAACAACTGATACCTTTTCTCCCCCGTGAACAACTTGGTTGAGCACCAAATTTTTCAAGATTGGAGACATTCAAGAACTGAGGTTTGACTTTATCTTTCTTGGTGTCTGGCTTAAATGCTTGTGTATAGTAACTGACTTATTGTTGAGTTGACAAACCAGTACTTAATGGCAGACGTGAAAACTCTGTTATTGTACCCAGTGAATTTTAACTTCTTTGATATATGTGGTAGCACTAATGAGATTAGATAAATTTCCAGGTTAAAAGTCAGGGATTGGCAAGAAAGCCACAGGGGCTGCTGGTGAAAGTGACTGGAGTCGGTGTTGCTCATCTTCAGGAAGTCACCCAGCACAGCCTGTTTCCATGAAGGTTCTTGGGTTGTAGCGCTAAAACTGTCTTCTCCCAGGACTTAGACACACTGTGGAAACTCAGTGTGTTTGGGATTGTCACAGGTAGAAAGAGAAGGCAATTTTCTGTCTAAACATAGCTGCCAGTGGGGGACAAAAGCAAAATAATAATTTTTTCACCAAAGTTCTTAGTAGATACAGTAGGCAAAGTAAACAAGATCATGTTGAAAGGTGTCTTGTACCATGTCTTGGACTAGTTTTCTGGGAAAGCCATTTAGGATGTTTAACACTAACTTAAGACCCATCCTTCATGGAAATAAAGTTAACATTGAATCAAAGGCAGGGGCCATGTAACTTAGAAAATAGTCAGAAGTGTCTTGTCTCTTATTTTTATTGTGAAATGGACTTTGCTGTGTAGACTGCTAACTTTGTATACTGCTCCTCTGCCTATTCTGGTTGTCTTTACTGTCTTTACCACTTTAAGAATCTTTCCTTTAGTATTTTACAGAGTGGTGGAGTTTATCTTATATATATTTTGCATTCTGTGCATTAACTTAGTAGCTACACAGGACAGTTTAGTCTTCAGTGGGTATGACATGTGCTCTGAGAGGCTTGAATAAGAAACAAGTGGAATGTGTGGGGAGTGTGCTGGACAAGAACATGCTGTACAATGGGCAAAATTCAGGCTGTGGGAGGATGAGTCATGCAACTTACAGGAAAAATTCTGTTGCAAAGATAATGGATCGTTTGCTTCCTGAATGAGCCATTCAGAAGGAGCTGTTGCCAAACCACCAAACTCCCCTGATGATATTTTGCAGATAGTCCTCCTGGAGTACTGGTTGATACTGGAGACTTTGTTCGAATCGACCTTTCCAACCTTTACAACTTTTAGTTTATTAATAGCTTAGAAGGAGACCTTTCTGGTCTGCAAAAGATGTTGTTATATTAGAACATGATTCTTTTTGTGTGTGTTGATAAAAACCAGTATAATTTTTGTTCAGGCATCAATTTTGGTTATAGTTTTAAGAGGAAACAACCTCTTTTGTTCCCTGAGTTTATTTCTTAACGAGAGCTTTGAGAAGTTATCTTCAGTGTGTGTTGTCACAAGGTGTAACCCGACCTGGACTTTATAAGCTTAGTACCTTTGGACTTCTGCCCTGCACACAGTTTACATGCAAGGTAAAGCAAGACCCTGTACCGTTCCTTAATTGAAATAAAGTTTAGTTGCCACTTGGTTAACTTCCTGGTTTTTAAATAAAATAATATATTAGTCACCTGGAAATTTGGAATTTAAATGTGATGACATAAATCTTTCTGCCCTAATCAAGTGTTTCAAGATGAATTAAAATGAATATTCCTAGTATTTCTGGCTTCAGTAACTCTCAGGGATGATCAGTTATATCTGAACCATGTCTTGATGGCTTGGTAATTTTTTATGCACAGTAGTCATCCCCGCTAAAGGCTGTAGAAGGGACTCCATTTTATCGTGGTTATCTTCTTGAAAGTTGCACAGAAGGTCCATGCGAATGTTAATTATAGTCTCAGAACAAGCTAAAGCCCTTATTCCTTGGCATTGTGTACATACTGTGTAAAAATGCATACTTTTGGCCCTGACCGGTGTGGCTTAGTGGATTGGGTGCCTTCCTGCAAAATGAAAGGTCACTGGTTCGATTCCCAGTCAGGGCACATGCCTGGGTTGCAGGCCAGGTCCCCAGTTGGGGGCATTTGAGAGGCAATTGATCAGTGTTTCTCTCTCATATCATTGTTTCTCTCCCACTTTCTCTCTCCCTTCCCTTCTCTCTAAAAATAAATCAATAAAATATTTTAAAAGCACATACTTTTGTGCAAAATGGAATAGATTGATTTCTTACAAAGTAGGTATAACTAGAAGCCTTGTAAATTTATATTTTAACTCACACGTACTGTGTGCAGGGAACTGAGGTCTGGTTCCTGGCTCCTAGGGGCCACACAGTCTGGTGGCAGAGATAAGAGGTGTAAGAAACACATATGGCCAGGACCACCTCACGCCAGTACAACTGACCAGAGTGCCAGGTGCCATGAGAAGCTGCCTCTTTCTAGCAGGGAAGATCTGGGAAGGAACGGAGAGTTCTTGTTTTGAGCTGAATTTCAAAGGATGCATAGGCAAAGATGGGGAAAGGGGAAAGGGATGACTGAAGTGGAAAATTGCTTCTTGGGCCAATGTGTGGTTTGCATAGGCTTGAAGACAGGACACGCACTGTGTGCGATGGGAGAAGGAGGGGGAAGTCCTTAGGCGTGGGTAGTTGTATTCACCCTGCCTTCTCCCTCTCCTCTGCTGCTGGCCTGGGGGAACTGGAGACAGCAAGGAAGGCTTGGTCTCACCCCGTGGCCCTCTCTCCTTCACCTTCTCACTTGCCATTATCCGATGGTGAGAAGTTATGGAGAATGAATGGGGGTAGAAGTCAGTAAAAAGAACTGCATTTTAGCACAGGGGACTCTTTGCCACATTTTTCTTTTATTTTCCTTTGTTAGTATTCTCGGCTTTTCTAAAGCTTGGCAGAGTCCATTACAGGAAAGAAAAAGGAAAAAGGTAGGTAGGAGAGTTTCAGTACCTGACCACTCATATTTGTTCTGCCTATAAGGAGATGGGGTTAAAGAGCACAGATTGGGTAGTGTTTGCCGAAATTAAATAGATCTAATGCTGAGCATACAAACTAATTGTGGTAGACCCCAACCTTAATTCTTTAATGTCATCATCGTAGTCATTAGTTAGATTATTTAGGGACCTACAAGATGCATGGACTTGTCTTACTCTATAGTAGAGATTTTTAAAAAATTTGTAGAGGTGGAGGGGGGTCTAGAAAAAAATCACTTATTTTTTACAGAAAAATGGTGCTTAAGGGAGCATTCACGGCATAGGATGTTGGGTAGACAGAAGTCTTTTGTACTTTTATTAAGTCATAATTTTTCAGGATATGTATCTATATTTCTTTTTTTCTCCATAAGTAAAAAGAGGAAAACTAAAACAGAATGAAAGAGTTAGTTTGAAAAACAATCAAATCTAGGAAGTATTTTCTTTAATTTTTTAATTTTTTATTGTTGTTCAAGTACAGTCGTCTCCACCCCCCTCCCCCCTGCCCCGCCCCGCCCCCATCTCCTGCCCCAGGGAGTGGTTTCTGAAGCCTCCGTGGGAAGAGACTGGCCTGCGGGAGAGGCTTGAAGGAGCAACTGCTGTCACATTTCAGGACCAAGGACTAACGGTTTAGCTTCTACTCCGGAAATCCTGAAAATTCTTGTTAGGATTTTCTCTTTCTTTTTTTCCTTAAAGTGAGCCTATTTTATCTTCTCATAAAATGTTGTTTCTTTGCCTTCTGAGGAACTGTGTCTTTGATAGTGTGATCAGCTCTCTCTGCTACAGGACTGTTCTGGGAGTTAGGGCTACTCCTCCTGATTCTAGAGCTCATTAGCGACTGTTAAAGGGTCTTTATCAAGGCACAGGTACTGTCCATTTATACGCATGTGATGAAGCCACCTTATACCTACCATTTTTAAAAACTGAGGTTTATATTGAATTGGCGGGTTCAATGTATTTCTGGAAAATATACTTGGCCCCTTTTAGAAAGTATTTGCTATGTAAATGGAGAGTTTTCTTACTCCAAACTCTGAGTAAGATGCAAATGATCAATGTTGCTCATTGCCCAGGAACACAATGGCTGTGTCTTGGAGATGACATAAGAATGGGCCAAGGAGGTAGGAAGCCGAAACATCCCTATGAACTTCCTTCTCAGAAGATAAATTGGAAGGAAGCTTCTGATTGGCCCCAGGCAGTCTCCACCTCCTCCCGCCCAGAGGCTCCTGAATGGCCTGTGGAGATGTACTAAGTGACTGTAATCTTTCTTTTTCAGCTTCTGCCCCTTGCTGCAAAACAGCAAGAGAAGGAAATCAAGGAGCCACTCCTGCAATTTACCAGATAAGCCCAGCAGGGTCAGTAGAGTTCCCAGAAAAAAGCTGCAGCCATCTGAGGATAAACCCCGTCAAACAGCTTTTACCTTAAAGCCGACCTGAAAGAGGGATTTCCGGTTACAAGGTGAGCCAGGAGGACACCAGCTTAAAAGCAAAAGCAACGTTAGACGCAGGGTTACTTAATAACAGCAAAACATTAGTGAGGCATTACCAAATCACAGGAAGGTGTTTCTGTATACCTTTTGTGTGTATATCAGATCTACAAAACATGTAATCCTGGTTATGTTTAGTCATCTGAATAAAAAGTTCTGCTGTAATTGTGTTAAGGATAGGAAGTATTGTAGAAAACATGCCAAAGTATTTGTTAACCTCTGTCTAGCTGCAGTGCAGCATCAGGTGGAAATAAGACATTCCCCTTTTCTTCTTGAGTAATGAACCTGTGGACCTAAGACTAAGAATGCTTTCTTTATATGCATTTATGCACACAAGCCCACCTGTGTATGCATGCAGACATTCTTAAAATGCATTCATTTTCTTTTTATAATCTTTCCGAGTAAACAGGTAGACAGCTGCTTGTTTTCTTTTTGCCCATGAGACTGAAATAACTAACATGATACAAGCAATACTTATTATGTATGGGTACTATAGACTCCTTGTCATCTTTGATATTTGCAGTTATTATTTTCAGAGCCATGGCACATAATGCTGTTTGACATCTTAGGCTCAGTGACTAAAGTCTTCATAATTTGCACTTACCCCTCCTAGTTAGTTATGTAGAGCTTTCTGGGAGCCTGCCCCACTAGAGCTCTTGGAGAGCATTTGTAACCTGTGTATCCCTCTTACTTGCCCTGGGACAGGGTTGCTGGTGGTGGTGGTGATAGTTCAGACATCTGCAATTTGGGAGATGCTCCCAGGTATTCCAATACCACTTCTGCCCTCTCCTTGCGTGGACTGGTCCCTCTCGATAGGGCAGAAACCAAAGATCAGTGATTTGGTGTAATCCTTGTTATGTGAGAAGCTTTTTGTTTATTGCTGCATTATTTAAAATTACATTTCAGAGCAGAGCTTGCAAACTGGTGGCCCCCAGGGCAAATTTTAGACTATATATTTTTTAACTTCTGAACATTTTCTTTTTTAAAATTTAATTAATTGCTGGCATTGTTGGACAGTCTGGAAACTTCACATAGAAAATCAGATCCCTGGCTTCTTTCGGAAGGTTAGCTATCTGGTCCCATTGCTATTCCAAGGGCTGAAGTTTGCTAAGCTGTATCGTTCCCTAAGTATTAAACCCAACCAGCCTTAGAGACTTAGCTATCTCTCTGGCACCTGCCAGTGTTTGTGGTCAAGACTCCTGCTTGAAGCACCCATTTCTTCTTACATGAAGTCACTCCCTCGTACTTTACACATGACACTGTTAGTCTTTATTCTCTTTTGGGATTTTGTTGTTTTCTTTAAAATGTATATGCTTTGAGAATGCTCGCTTTCTGAAGTTAAGCTGACACCTGTCAGGCTTGCCTATGAAGAAGGAAGACTCTTCCAGAAACAGATGGTTCATTGTTCTTAGTTTGGAAATCTGATTGATGATGATAAAGTGTGAATCATTCTTTCTGGACCTTGAGGTTGTTCTTTCAGAGTCTGAGCTGTTGTGACTAAGGCTTCCATTGCCTGATTTGACTATCTTGGTCCCACGCAAGTAAGGCAGATTCACTTGAGGTGGCTTTTTGTTTGAATGACACTTGTAGGGATTTAGAATCCATTTTCTAGCTCTTTACTCATTCTGGACACCACAGCGATTCAGCATGCAATGTGTATGCGTCTACACATGCAGAGCTTTCGACGTTGAGAAATCTCTCCACAGGATCAGATGCACCCTCAAGCACAGTGGGCCGTAGTTAATCATAACACTTCTTCCCCATCTTGGATAACTATATATTACTGGGAACTGAACTACTTACAGTAACGTTCCTGCCAATTTGATACTGAATCAAACTTTTATATAATAACAAAGTGCTTCAGTCATGAAAGCATTCCACATCACAGGGTCCTTATGGGCGGAGCACTCACTGCTCTGCCTGCATTAGCTAAATCATCGTTTACAAGTGGGGGGAAGCTGACTCCATCTCAAAACAGCAATTCTTATCCCAACAACGCATTTAAGTTCAAACAGGGAGTACATGTTACTTCAGCAGATTTCAGGCCCCAGGATATCCATTTTTAATGTTGAAGTGAACAAGAAGGAAGACCGGCTGGATTAGATGTTTATTTCAGGTAATTTACTCTCCTTCTGGCTGCATTGCTTGGCTCTGTCTCATGGAATCTCTTATGTCAGTGTTGCCTCAAATCCCTTGATACTTGACCCCATGCAAAGATGAAATGTACGTGAGTCCCTTTGACTATCAGGTTTAAGTTCATGGAAATAAAGTAACTGGAAATTTGTTTCCATGCATTTGCTGGGTTGTAAGAAGGAAATTAAACTCTTCTTTAAAAGGGAAAAGCAGGTGATCGGTACCTCATTTCCTTAATGAAATGCGTCTATTTTTATTATTCTTTTGTTATAGGAATTAGTTTGTATGCCTGTATACTCAGAAATGCTTTCAGAAAGCCCTTTTATCTTTTTTTTTTTTTGGAGTTCCTGTTAATCAGCCTCACATTCCATTTCACTTAAATCCCTGAGAAAGGATAAATAGGACTGAAAAAAAATGGAACCCAACTAGGAAGTGCTTGGGAGCCATTATTAACATATAAAACAGGTCGAGATGTGGTAAGAAAGGTAAATTCAGAAAATCATTTCACCAGTCAGCCAGTATAATGTGGTTCTGCAAAGACTGCAGAGGATAAAGAGTGCTGAACCCCCGCATGACAAGGGAGCAGATGTGTATACTTCTTTTTATCTCTTTTGAGGATCATGAGACTCATCCCTCGGGTAGTGGAGATGGAGAGAATAGCCACTGAGAGCTGGCAAGTAGATGCCACCTGACCTGCCCCATCCTCCTCCTTGGCTGTCCCTCCTTCTCTGTCTCTCAGATTGAAGGGAGTCTCTTCTGTTCAGGAGGCACCGAACTCGAAACAACTGCAGGGGCTAAGAGGGAGGTAGCAGGCCCATAGCCAGCCCTTCTGTCCCGAAAAGAGGAGTGAGAAGGCATTGACGTTTCCTTCTCGGTCTTTTGAAAAGATTGAGAGCAGGGGACCAGGGAAGAATTTGTCCAGATATAAACATTGTGCACTAGACCAGTTCCTCCCTGGACATTGTCTGTCTGAATCTGGTAGGTGAGGTTTTAGAAAAATGAGTCACCTAAACATCAGAAAGATTTACTCCAGATTTGAAAAATAAAGTATATGTTAAGTGCATATCCAGTAAAAGTAGAAATGAAGAAGTAATTGAGGGAAAAAAGGATAATATTGTTCATGTTGGGGGTTTCATGTATAAGTAGTAAGAAAAAGGGGGATTTTTGTTTTGTTTTGCTTATAAATACTTTTTTAATTTGTTATTAAATTTACTGAGGTGACATTGGTTGATGAAATTATATATATATTTCAGGTATACAGTTCTATAATACATCATCTATATATTGTATTGCATGTTCATCATCCAAAGTTAAGTCTCTTTCCATCACCATTTATCCCCCTTTACCCTCTGTTACCTCCCCCCTTCTCCTCTGGCAATCACCATACTATTGTCTGTTTCTATGAGGTTGTTTGTTTTTTTTTCTTAATTCCTTCACCTTTTTCATCCAGCCCCCAACTCTGCTCTCCTCTGTCAGCTGTCAGTTTGTTCTCTGTATCTGAGTCTGTTTCTATTTTCATTTATTAGCTTTTTTGTTCATTGATTCCACATATGAGTGAAACCATATGGTATTTGTCTTTCTCTGGCTGGCTTATTTCACTTAGCATAATGCTCTCCAGGTCCACACATGATTTCACAAAGGGTAAGATTTCTTCCTTTTTATGGCCAAGTAATATTTCATTGTGTAAATGTACCACAGCTTTTTTATCCGCTCATCTACTGATGGACACTTGGGATACTTCCAAATCTTGGCTATTGTAAATAGTACTGCAGGAATTTTTGTTTTTCTAAATATTTTTCATTGTTTTTTGTTTTCTCCCTAGTTTTTTTTTAAAGATTTTATTTATTTATTTTTAGAGAAAGGGAGGGAGAAAGAGAAGGAGAGAGACATCAATGTGTGGTTCCTTTTCATACACCTCCAACTGGGGATGTGGCCTGCAACCCAGGCATGTGCCCTGACTAGGGATTGAAGCAGCGACCCTTTGGTTCGCAGGCCAGCATTCAATCCACTGAGCCACTCCAGCCATGGCTTCTTCCTAGTTTTTTTAAAAATACCTTTCATTGAGAAAGATTTCAAATTTATACAAAGGTAAAGAGAATAGTATGGTGAACTCCCATGTGCACCCACCCAGATTTATTGACCCCTTTCTGCTTTTATTCTGAAGTTTTAGAGGTAGACATGTCATAATAACCTACGTGCTCCAGTAGGCATCTATTACTGTGCACATTTTCTGCAAAACTGTAGTCCTGTTGTCACACCTAACAATATGAATAATAACCTTTGATATCATTTACTCCTTATTCCATATTCAAACTTCTCTATCACATTTCTCAAAATTGTCTTTTTATAGTTGGTTTATTTATATCAGATCCAAAGCATATACATTTCATTTGGCTATTGAGCCTCTTAAGTTTCTTTTATCTAGAATGTTCCCCTTTTTCAAGTCATGTACTTGCTGAAGAAACCCAGCCACATGAGCAATAGAATGATCTGCATGCTGATTGTTTGGCTGATTGTTATTTAACCTTTTCCTCTGTTGTCCAGATTACTAGAAACAGCAGGTTAGATTTAGGGCCCCGATTGGATTCAGATTCTACTTTTCAGTGAGAATTCTGCATCCACGGTACCTTATGTAGCATCACCTCAGGAGGCCCATGTGGTCTGGTTGCCCCACTTCAGCGATGCTGAGTTTCAACAGTAGCTTCAGGAAATAACATCCTCATTCATTGTGAAGTTTCCCTCATCAGTTTTTTTCAACTAATGATTTTATCCATTAGTAATCATTGAATACATTGTTTCATTAGGGGTTGGAAACATGGTGGTTTCTGCCCCCCATCCT